TGGGGAAAAAAAAGAAATATTAAACACTGTTTTAACTTGTTTATGGGGAAAAAAAAGAAATATTAAACACTGTTTTAACTTGTTTATGGGGAAAAAAAAGAAATATTAAACACTGTTTTAACTTGTTTATGGGGAAAAAAAAGAAATATTAAACACTGTTTTAACTTGTTTATGGGGAAAAAAAAGAAATATTAAACACTGTTTTAACTTGTTTATGGGGAAAAAAAAGAAATATTAAACACTGTTTTAACTTGTTTATGGGGAAAAAAAAGAAATATTAAACACTGTTTTAACTTGTTTATGGGAAAAAAAAGAAATATTAAACACTGTTTTAACTTGTTTATGGGGAAAAAAAAGAAATATTAAACACTGTTTTAACTTGTTTATGGGGAAAAAAAAGAAATATTAAACACTGTTTTAACTTGTTTATGGGGAAAAAAAAGAAATATTAAACACTGTTTTAACTTGTTTATGGGGAAAAAAAAGAAATATTAAACACTGTTTTAACTTGTTTATGGGAAAAAAAAGAAATATTAAACACTGTTTTAACTTGTTTATGGGAAAAAAAAAGAAATATTAAACACTGTTTTAACTTGTTTATGGGGAAAAAAAAGAAATATTAAACACTGTTTTAACTTGTTTATGGGAAAAAAAAGAAATATTAAACACTGTTTTAACTTGTTTATGGGAAAAAAAAGTTTAAACTTCTACTTTTATAACTCATATAACTATGTATAGTATTAATAATTAATAATCTATTTACAAGTTCAATAAGAATAACAAGTTAATTTCTTTTTAAACTAAACATTTTCTGCTCAACTAAACACATTCTGTTCAATGAAACTTTTTCTGTTCGTCTAAACATTTTGCGATTAACTATTAGATGGCGATTAACACTTAGAGTTCAATTTCTAAAATAATTTTTTTTTTTCACTTTTTTGTGCGAAACACTTATTTTTTTATAAAACATTAAAAAAAAAAAAGCACTTTTCAATATATTTAAAAACCTCCAACAACAAAATTTACAAATAAATTATATATATATATATATATATATATATATATATATATATATATATATATATATATATATATATATATATATATATATATATATATATATATATATATATATATATTATAAAAACTGATTAGAGCAATATGTCTAACAGACTTTACATTTATTTTTTGTGAAAATACGTCTCTTGTGCACAAATATTGCTTTTATAATCAACAAAAATCGATTTTGGGATGTGCTGTTGTAGTCAAGGCCGGCGCGATAGGGGGGTGCTACACCCCCCCCCCCCATCAATGACTTTTTGTCGGCAAATTTGACCCTTAGTCGGCACTTTTTGACTAGTTAGTCGGCAAATGTAGACCCTGTCGATAGGTTAGTCGGTAAAGTCAGTTGGCAAATGTCGTTATGGCAGTCGGTAAATTTTAAAAAACGAGGACCTTTTTTTTTTTTTTTTAGACGGCAATAGTTGTAATGGCACACACCCCCCCCCCCCACGTGACCCCTACTCGCGCCGGCCCTGGTTGTAGTTTTATTCCCTTCCCAGGAAAAAACGCTCTATAGAATTTTATAGAATCTCTATTAATTTCTATAAAAATTGTGAATAAACTTTTTTTTCTAAAGAAAAAAAAAAGTAGAAAAAAAAAGTTAATGATAATGATAATGAAAAAAGTTCTAGAGAAATTTTTTCATTATCATTATCATTAAAACACAGCTTGTTTTAATGATAATGATGACTTTATCTTATGATGGCATACTGACGAGTTGGGTGTGTTGCAATACTAACAAGTTGGAAAAACCTTTTTCTAATGAGAAAAACTTATTTTTAATAAAGTAAAAAAAAAGCGATGCTCCAAAAAATTCTTTTTTTTGGTACAAAACATACATAAAACGTAATATATCCTATGCGCATGTGCGAAACTTTAAAATGCTGCTGTGTAGCATGAAATGGTAAATTAGAATGGTTCCGAGTAATTTTTTGACTTTTCTGAGGGAAAACTCTAAGGTTAAATGAAATCTTAAAGTTACCCTCGATCCTAACCACCCTCCCCTATGCCATCATAGAAGCAGTGGTTGCCTATAATGGCTTACTTGCATTTTTTTTTAAAAAGAGGAATAACTAATAAAAAAATAAAACTTATGAAAACTTCGAGGATAATTATTGTTCTACATGTAACAAGGAATGTATCCATATCAAAACTTTTATTATTGGTCTTCAGGATACTGAATAATAACGCTTTAAAGTTAAGTATGCCATCATAGGCGCCGTTCCCTTTAAATTGTTTTATTTACTTAAAAGTATATTTAATCATATTCAATATTGCTGAACAACCGTTAATGAAAAGACTACATAGTTAGGGTGTTATTTGTGATAATAAGAGTTTTCCTAGTCTTCTGCGAGTTTTCCTTTAACTACATAATCTTACTAAATTTATAATATATATATATATATATATATATATATATATATATATATATATATATATATATATATATATATATATATATATATATATATATATATATATATATATATATATGTAAATTTTCTTCTAACGACAATCACAAGCAAGTCCCTAGTGGCCCTGTGGTGCGACGGACTTGCATATATTTTTTAAATGTATGGATTAATAGCCAGCACTTCATTTTATAAACCACAAACTTTTAAATTCATTATTTAAACCCAATGTCTAGCAAGCACGCGCAAACAGTACTTTTAACTTTCACTTATTGTAAATAAATGTGGTGCAATAACTTTTTTGTACACATCAGAGATTGTAAACACTATTTATTGAATTATATAGTAATGTTTGTTGAAAAAAAGTAATTATAAAAAAATAAAACAGTTTTTAAATAGCTTCTTTTTCTTTTAAGTCTTCGGGCGTCTATAGTTCACACCCATGAGTTATAGCCCATTTAGCTAAGAAAATAAAATTTGTACAAAAATAAAAATAAATAAAAACTATAAAATTGATATTGATCTATAATATAATATACATATATATATATATATATATATATATATATATATATATATATATATATATATATATATATATATATATATATATATATATATATATATATATATATATATATACATATATACATATATATATATATATATATATATACATATATATATATATATTATATATGTATATATATATATATATGTATATATATATATATATATATATATATATATATATATATATATATATATATATATATATATATATATAAATATATATATATATATATATATATATATACATATATATATATATATATATACATATATATATATATATACATATATATATATATATATACATATATATATATATATATATATATATATATATATATATATATATATATATATATATATATATATATACACACACATATATATTCTATCGTTTATCGCAATGAAATATAAACATAAAATGAAATATAAAGTATAAACGAGATGATTTTAAAATGAATAAATACAAATTTCTCTTATCTTTTTATGACACCGGTGATTGTGATTGGCTAATATTTTTTTATTCTTTGGTTGCCATCAAGTATGTCTTTTAGCGACATAAAGATCCCACTACACAGTATTTTGTAATTTTTAGCGGGTTTTTTTGTTTTAGATTTTGTATTCAATGGCTGATAATTGACGTATAGTCGTGAAATTTTAAGTACTTTAGAAAAAGTTTTTTTTTTTTTCGTAAATATATATTTGTATATCGCTCTATTTAAAATATCATTTTAAAATCGGCGGACCTGTACACGGCGCACCCTAAACTCGGTGAAGTTCGTTAATTCTCGGAACGAATATTGTCGGTGTTCGCTTTTGGTATTTTACAGAATAGGCGCTAAAATATTACAGTACAGGTCCGCCTTAAAATCCAGCACTTTTTTACGATTATGAGTTTTGTTGTATATATATATATATATATATATATATATATATATATATATATATATATATATATATATATATATATATATATATATATATATATATATATATATATATATATATATATATATAAATGTTTTTGATTAAAAAAAATTGTTTGCTTGTTTATGGATTGTTGATTCAAACCATGTTCCACAACGAATGCAATTGAGGCTGTTGCACAAGTCAAGTTCCACAATGAAAGCAATTTGGGCTGTTGCTCAGAACTTGTTAAACCTTGAAATTTAATTAATCAAAAGGCTGTTTTAAAAATTCAGTCAACTGCTATTTTTAACAATCGATTAACTATCTGGGTTGTGATATTGTTTTATTAGTCTGAAAAGTTGTTTGTTTTTATTGAGTTTTGATCGTAAAGAGCTTTAATTATTCAATTGTAAATTAAATCCGTTTCAAAAGATTACGGGGTTGTAGCTTTCTATTGGTACTCCCACTACTTTTTAAAAGTATTTGTTTACTTTTTAAACAATAAAAATATTGTCTAAATATTATTTTGTTTTTTTTCATTCTAAATGTTTTTTTATTTTTATTTCTTTTATTAGCAAATGTTGGAAACATTAAAACTATTCTGTTAAATCCTCTTATTATAATTGCTTTGTAAAGTACCCTATATAAATGGATTCTGCAAAATACACTTTTTCCACAGTAGATCCCAATTACATTTAATGCACTAGCGTCCATTTATGACGGTGGCTTTTGAAATAAAGACAATAAAAAATTTTTTTTTTTTAATTTTACCATATGTAGTTTGGATTAATATTGTGTGCGAAGTTTGTTAAAAAATGAAAAAAATATTTTAGGTAAACAATAATTATTTACTAGTTTTATCTCTTCAACAGATTTTGAAACAAGATTGTTGTCATTTAAATAAACAGTGGATAATTAAAAAAAAAAAAAATTTAATAATAAACTATTCAAAAAACTATTGGATTTTCAAGTCAAATATATATGTTTGCGTCAAATGAAAAAATTCAGTAATGGCTTTATATAAAATGTCATAATTTAAAAACAACTAACGTCAATGGTGTCTAGAAGTCAAAATTTGCACGCACTCAAAAAGTAAAAACCACGCTTCTAAATTATGATAAATTTCCGTTTAAAATTAATACTAATATTTAGTAAAAGATATAAAGGTATTGCATACGATATCTTAAATTATTGTTTTATTTTATTGCATAAGCTCATATAATTTGTCTAGAACCATTTTCACATGTTTAGCTGGTAAGTTGAAGTTTTTAAAATTAAAAAAAAGTAAAAATTCCATTCATAAATAACTAACAATTAAAAAATTATTATTTTTTCTTTATAGAGTAGGAAAAATTGCATCGAGCTGTATTATCTTGCGATTTTTTATACTTTTCTGTTGATAAAAATAACAAAATGAATAACCAAACTCGTACTTTGCAAGAACGAATTAAAAATAATTTTATCGACAATGGCATCGATCAGGCTAAAATGAAAATAAAAACAAAGCTTAGAGTTACTCGTTCATATCCTTTTAATGCTGATTACCAACTCGTATCTTATCCAGAAAGTTTATCTCTTATAAAAAAATCAGAAGTAAACATTGCGACCAATTTTTTTAGAAAAAATGACGGAGATGGGGCCTCATTGCAACCTGTCGGAGATACATACCAAGAAGTCAAAAAAGTAAAACTAGGGCCGACGCGTTCATGTCCGTATTACAAAAAAAACTCGCCAATGTGTTTTAACCGTAACACAAGCTTAACTGAATTAATATTGCCTAGCAAAATTGATTCAAATATTTATTATTGTAACTTTGAAACGGATGATCGTTCCATGGTCGTCACTAAACAACCCACAAATTACACTTCTATAAACTATAAAACAGAATATTATTCTAAGCAGTCGTCACTTACCTCTTGCTTATACTATGCAAAAAATGTTGTGTCATGCTGTACATGTTTTTGGTGTCTCGAAGCACTTTGCTATCATTGCGTTTCAAAAGATGACATTGGAAGCAACCACATTGTAAAAAACGCTTTAACTATAAAAGGATCAAAACTTAATCATGCAAAACGTTTGGCAATATGTTTTTCTTGCCTTCCATTTTTTCCATGTCTAGGTTTGTACCCTATATTAAATGGTTTATTAGATTACTGTATTGATAAAAGCAACAACAAATCTTTCTATCAATAATACCTTTTGTTTTTTTATTCTACAAAATAAAGTGCGATGCAATAATGAACCTGAATAATGAAATAGTAAAAATACTCAAACGGAACTTGTTTAATGACTATCTGATATATTAATGATTAAATGCACCATCATTAATGATTGAATGCACCATCAATAACAAACTATTATTACATTTCAAAGCACAATTGAAACCATAATTCATGATTATTAATAATAGAGTCGTTATAGATTCAGAGACAAATTCAGTCTAAAACTAGGCAAAGACGTCAAACGGTCTTCAAATGATTTTTTCAAGATGTTACCGCAGTGTGATCTTTCATTTTTCTAATTTTGAATGAAATTTCGGATTAAATAACTTAAAAATTTATTTAAAAAAAATATTCGATTTATTAGAGAAAAATTTTGTAAATAATATATTAATAATTATGATTTTTTTAAAGCAATGTTCATTAAATAATAAATCGGTTTCCTAAACAATGAGTTAGGATTTTTTTAAAAATATATCAGGTTTATTAAAAAGATAAGTTTAACAGAAGTCACATGAACTAATAAATTATATATAATATAATTAATATGAAGCAGAAATGAAGAAAATGTTGAAATTACTAAAGAAAGGAAATTTTCACTAAAAGTTTTTTGTCTGACAAAGAATTTTTTTAGAGTGAAACTAACATTTAACGTATAAAGGAGAGCATAGAGCAGAGCATAGAGAGAGAAGAGAGTATAGAGAAATGATAGAGGAGAGTATAGAGAAATGAGACGCAACAGAAGTGAGACAGTCCAAAAATTTCAATTAGGAGAAATACCTTATCACTGTAATGTAAACAATTAGATTTTTTTCTCCTCATTTTAGCAGACATTGTTTTGTCTCCTTCAAGTGCTAAAAACCGAATTTTTGAAAAAGTACCTCAAAAAACTTTTTTTTTCGTCAAAGTCTACCAACTAAGTAAGTATATATCTTTGACTTTTTTGGTCCATTTTGTTAATTATACAAACAATGCACTTACCATGTAATACTATTGCACATAAACACTATTGCACATAAATATTGTAGTTTTATTGCACATAAATATTGTAGTTTTATTGCACATAAATATTGTAGTTTTATTGCACATACATATTGTAGTTTTATTGCACATAAATATTGTAGTTTTATTGCACATAAATATTGTAGTTTTATTGCACATAAATATTGTAGTTTTATTGCACATAAATATTGTAGTTTTATTGGTTAGACTATAGTTTTAGTTGTCTTGCAGAGAGGTGAAAAGTGAGAAAATAATTGTTTCCTCACTTTTGCCCTATCACTTATGTGATAAGGGATTATGGTATTAGGGATTGTAGTAAAATAAACCATTGTAGTAAAATAAACCATGGTTTATTTTACTACAATCCCTTATACCAAGATCTCTTTTTGTGTTTGATTTTTAATTTTTTTTATTTAATAATGTTTAAATTCTTCTATATTCTCAAAAGACTGCATGATGGAAAAAAAAAAACTATATTTTTTGTTTATTCACAGCAACTTTTAGAGGAGAATTTAAACCCCGTTAGTGACAGGGTAAAATGACGTCTACCGACCGCCTAATATTATGATTTTTTTAAAATTTAAAATTTAAAAAAAATTTTAATGTAAAAACTATGCTTTGCAAAATTTGCAAAACTTATTTTACAAAACTTGCTAATGTAAATTATCGTTTGCAGGATATGAGAAAATTAGATTAGTTAATTGATTCTTTGCTATTAAAACTAGCAATCTGATTCGTTTAAAAATAATTCTCTAGTGTAAATTATACTTTTTCAGTAACTGCAAAAGTTGGTATTTGATTGGTTGCAAATGTACTCCGTTGTATTATGATTTAACAAAAGTTACAAATCTACAAATCTCTACAAAGTTTTATTAAATCGTAGTTGGTAGAGTACAATAAAAAGGACTTTTGAATTTTAACTTCAAAGCATGGTTTTTAACTTAATTAAAGATTGTCTGAAATAATTTAAAACCAATAATCTTGTTAATTTGAACATATTTTATGAAAATTTTTGCATAAATTAATAAATAATAATAACATAATAGTTAAACAGTGATGGTCTTGTGAGCCGTTTTTTGATGTCACAGCAATAAGAAATCTATTTGTAGAAATCATATTCTGCCTTACTTAAAAGATAATAAAAAACATTGTATTACTCTAAGGTAAGTCTCTTTTCTTCTAAAGAAGTTGTCATTTAATTTGTATTTTAATACAATAAGTTAATTTTAACCAACCCCCTTCCCCATGATTTTTCTTATTTGCACAGAGAGCGTAGCTGCGTCACTTACAATATAATGTAAAGCGCTTTTTTTTATGTATTAACCCCAAAATCTGCATCATACGCCATAAAGATCAGGGGCTGACGGTCTGCCCTAGATCTTTCATACTGTAACATATTTAATCACACTAAACTAAAAAAAAACCTTAAATAAAAGCATGCTTGCAACATTATGTATTGGATAAACAAATATGCTTATATAATGCGCACTTCTCGTGAGTCTTTTTAAGCCAATTTACCTAGTGATAAGTATTTTAAGCAAATTGTGGTTTATCTTTAGTAACTTACTTTAAAAAAATTTCTTATAAACATCCTACCCAAGTTTTCAAAAAATTACTTTGTTGTTTGAAAATAGTCTTACCAGTTGCATTCTTTAAATAAGGTCTTACCAGTTAGGAAATGAGTTAAAAAATAGCTTTGTACCAATTTTTGAGCGATTTTTCTTTTCTCATATTATTGTTTCCTTTTGTCTTTTACGTTTTAAAAAACTCAATTTTTAATATTTGATTTAATGTTCTTATATTGCAACTTTATTTTTATTTATTTTTATATGTATACCATTGCAATTTTATTGAATGTTGCTAATTTAGAGATTATTTTTGCAAACAAATTAAATATCGTTAGAAAAGATGGCGACATATACACTTTTTACTATTATGCAGATATGCTTTGTAGTCAGTGATGTCATTACAATATATCGATAGCTACAAATTGAAGGTATGTAGTTAACTACAATATAACAACAAATCAAAAGCTAGTTGATGTCTAGATATCGTAGTCGTTTGGATAGCTTTTGTAGTTTGGGTAGTTTGTACGACAACTTGTTTCTTCGTGCAGCGGCCTTGTTTGTCAAGATTTGTGTTTCAGAGTTATAGAGTTGATAGAGGATTGTAACCACAACTAAAGCAACCTCCTTGAATGAAATAGCCTTCATGGTCTTGAGAAAGTGAGTTGAAGTGAAGATAAAAAAAAAAACATGTCGATAGTTAAATACGACATATCGATTGTTACATGTCGATAGTTATATCGATAATTACTTGTCGTTATACAGTAGCTTGTTGTGTTGCGAGCTACTACAAAACAACAACTTTAGCTGAAGATCCTCTAGCAAAATTGCTGTCTTTTTTGTTACAAGTTTTCAATAGCTATTGAAAATTTGTAGCACCTACAGTTGCTAGCTTATTTAGCTAGCAATTCTTGTAATTCATCGGGTACCCAATTCAATATCGTGGACTTTTTATTGGTAAAATTTTTTTTCGATTAGTTTATACTTTAATTTTTTTTTTTTTTTTTTTGTATGTATTTAGGTGCTCCCAGAAGTCCTTACGGTCTTATCATAGAGCACCGCGGGAGAACATTTAACGGGAAGTTCACGCTTCCTTCCGTACCAATGTCGCTCGTTGGGCTGGAGATGGCGTCGAACCTCAAATCTCTGGGTTCTGAGCCAGAACTCTAACCACTGCGCCACGGCTGCTATTAAATTAAAGTCTTAAAATTTTGTTTATTAATTTTTTCTTTACTTATTTATACTAAAACTCATTATTTATGATAAAACTCATTTTTTTGTGGATTTATAACTTTATATTTATTTATTGTGGATTAATAACTTTTATTCTTATTGTATTTCGTTTCTTAATTTGATCCGTGGAAATATTACTTGCTGAAGAAATTTGCTGAAATTTTGTTTATATTTGTATATATTTTATTTTATATATATTTATTATGTGTCAAAATTTCAAAACGTTTAATAAACCATCTGTATGGCTCTAAGAGTAGGAAAACAACTTGTCTTCATCCTGCTCCTATCAGGTTTTGCGTTATAGTAGTTTCTTTATTGTTATTTTAAAAACGGCAAATAATAAATATAAAAATAATGATAATAAAAAAGATGATAATGTTTTAGCTATTTTTAGATAATTTTTAATTTGTTTTTCACCATAACTCTCCTATTATGTTTTTCACTAATGCTCTATCATTATGCATTTGTTATCTTATTTTTATCTTATTTGTTATCTTATTTTTATCAAAACTCTTGTTAATGTTGTTATGACTTATTAATCATCTAAAAAAATTTAAAATATGCATTTAATTAAAAAGTTAACATTTTTTCTTAAACCGGAAAATGATCAGATACGTTTCCGCTTGAAAGTCTGAATCGTGCTCAGTTTCATATCTTAAATAGTAAACACCATTTTAAAATTTTTTGTTTGTTTTAAAAACGTTCTTTTAACGTTGCATTCTTTATTATTGTTTTGGAGAGAAATGAATTCAAAAGAAGATAAAAACGGACTTGTAAAAACGACTAACGACTTCATTTTTTCTTCCAACTTTGTTTCTTTTTTCTTCATCTGAAAGTTTTATATGGATGGATGACTGAATCCATATGTGGATGACTGGATTACTATATGTAATATGTACAAAGGGTGAAAAAGGAATTACTACACCTTATATTTAGAAGAGAACAATTATATACCTACAATAACTGCAATTAACTTTAAAGGGACAGTCAAAGTTAAAACTTTTTTGAAGAGGTACCAAGTTTCTTAATTTTTTGAAGAGGTACCATATGTAAAGTAAATCTCAATTACTATTACCTAACTTGTAGGAATAATGCTTGTTCGTGCTTTTCTTGATGCAGAGCTTTAGAAATTCTCAATTTATTATCAATTAAGTTGGAGTTTTAATATCACTAACATCAAATACTAATTCTTCTCTTGTTGATTTTAAATTAATTAAAAGTTTTTGATTATTTTTAAAATAATCAAAAAAATAGTAAATTATAAAATGTGTCGTTTAATTTCTTCTCAAATTTCACTTGTGGAATCACCATGGAAGTCATTTACCATTAAAATCTAAACGCAATATTTTTTTACTTTAAATTTTGTCCATTTAATAATGTCTGCGCATATTTTTTATAAAGCAAAAACTGAGCCAAAAAACTGTTTTAACTGCAGACAGTGCATAGAAGTTATAACGAATTTTTTAAAGATTTTTAATGTTAAAGATCCATTTTTAAGCGAAATATTTTTGCTAGTATATTTCAACATAGGAAAGTAGACAGGGACAAAGATAGTACCAACTCACAAATGATATAGAAACAACATTTTGACATGTTCAGGTATGATTGATCTTGTCAAGTACTTTATAAACTTTGGGTTGAGAGAGACTTTGACGAGGGCTGAGAGACTTTGAAGAGAGT